AGGTCTTTGATCCATTTGGAGTTGATTCTGGTGCAGGGTGATATATAAGGATAAAGCTTTAGTTTTCTACAAGTAGCTAACCAATTTTGCCAGCGCCATTTACCGAAGAGGCTGTCTTTCTTCCATTCTATTTTTCTAGCTCCCTTATCAAAGATTAGATGGCTATATGTCTGTAGGTTCATTTCTGGGTTTTCAGTTCTAATCCATTGGTCCTGAGGTCTGTTCTTGTGCCAGTACCAAGCTGTTTTGATTACTATGGCTTTGTAATAGAGTTTGAAATTTGGTATTGATATTCCTCCAGCACTGTTCTTTCTGTTAAGGGCCATTTTTGCTATTCGGGGTCTTTTATTGTTCCATATGAATTTTTGGATTGCCTCTTCTATTTCCTTGATAAAATACATTACTTTCTTTTGTGTCATTTTTATTTTGTTGTTTTGAGATGGAGCTTGCTATGTTGCCCAGGTTGATCTCGAACTTCTGTGCTCAAGGGAAATTACCAAGAGCTCTGACTACAGTTGAAGTCTACTGCGCCCTTATTGTCATTTCTGATCAAAACATAAATGTGTGTACTTGTGGTATACAATGATATTTGAATAACATGCATTCATGGGTAATCATCAAGTCAGGATAAAAAATGGAGGCAACACTTTATCCTCAATTTATTATTTGATGAGAACATCCAAAAATCTTTCTTCTATTTGTATGTTGTATTTTTTTCTTGTTGTATTTTGAAATATATGATGCTTGTTTTTGTTTACTCCAGTCACCCTAGTGTATAGTAGGACACAGATATTATTCCTCCTGTCTGGGACTCACATCTCTCCAACCCTCACACCCAGCAACACCTCTCCTTGACATCTAGCTCCACCTTTCTCTACTACACTCATCAAACCAAGATTTTTAGCTTCCATAGACAAATGAGATCACTTGTCTGTGCCTGGTTTATTTCACTTCACATAAGGCCCTCGGGGCTTGTTCATGCTTTTGTAAAGGAAGAGATTCATTGGGTATACGTACCACAACTTTTTTCAGTTCATCAGTAGTGGAGTTTTAGGTCGATATAGGTTGGCCGTAATGAATAATGCTGCAGTAATGTGAGAATAGTTTATCTTTTCAAAATATTGGTTTCAACATATTGATTTCCTTTCCCAACAGTGGGATTTCTACTTCTATTTTTACTCCTGTGTGTGTGTGTGTGTGTGTGTGTGTGTGTGTGTGTGTGTGCATGTCTGCAGATACTAGGGTTGAATTCCGCCTCCTGCTCTCACTTGGCTTTTTGCCCAAGATAGATCTTCTCCCATTTGAGCCATCTCTTATTGGAGATAAGCATCTCATGAGTTTTTCTCTCCAGGCTGGTTCCAAACCCCATCCTTAGATCTCAGCATAAGCCATGATCACCCAGCTATTTGCACTCTTGAAAGGAACTTCCATGCCATTTTTCATATTGACTGTACAAATTTTACATTTGCACCGAGTCACGCAGCCTTTTACAAAAAGTTGTTAGTCATCCCACTTCTGTTTTAGCATAAGATAGATAAAATCTGCTGAATTTGAGCTCTGTAAATGTCCTCACTTGGGAAATATATTAGACCAGATGATCTCTGAGGTCGATGTAATTCCAAGAATTGAAAGTTCAATTTCTCTATCTCCTGCAGCACAGTTCTGAATTCTGATTGTATTCTTTCCTTGTGGAGAAATCCTTGGTGACTCACAGCTGGCTGTAAAATCCAGGTTGGGTGGCGGGGACTTTAGGGACAGCAGTGGGGAGGAGGGGAAAAACCTCAAATTCCTTTAACATGGCTTTCAGAACTTGGCCCTTTCCTATCTTTCCAGTCTTCCTTCTCTCCCTTCCCTTCCACAAGTCTACTCCTTCCTAACTGGGCCTCCCCTGCTTGCTCCTTGATCTGTTTCCTCTTCCCTGTGCTCTTGTTTGTTCTGCCCTCTCTTGTGGAAACACTCATTTTCATGTAAACATAATCCCTTTTACAACTCTACCCAGAGCAACCTCCTGCAGGACCGTCTCTTTTCTAAACTTCCCTTGGTGGTAAGGCTTCAGTCAACACACAAGGCCTTGGGCTCTCAGTGCAGAATCACCTTTAGGCACTCTTACTTCCTCCAGACATCTTGAAAGGACAGTTGCATACCTGGTGGCCTGTTTCCTAGTTCCTTGTCTATAAGGCATGCTGGTGGCAAGAATCCTTAGAAGGTCAGTGATTGGTTGATTGATTGATGACTGATTGAGCAAGAAGCCCTTCCAGTGAGCGCTGGAGGCGGGAGACACAAGCATGATGACCTCTTGTTCTCCCTCAGTACCTAAATAATACCAGGGGCTGGGAAGGTGGCTCAGTGGTAGAGCGCTTGTCTTGCATGCCTGAGGCCCTGGGTTCGATTCCTCAGCACCACATAAGCAAAAAGAAAAAAGCTGGAAGTGGTGCTGTGGCTCAAGTGGTAGAGCTCTAGCCTTGAGCTGAAGAGCTGAGGGACAGCGCCCAGGCCCAGAGTTCAGGCCCCACGACCGGACCCAAAATAATAATAATAATAATACCAAGAACAGGGATGAGCACCGTTTGTTAGAATTTATTAGACTTTACTGGAGAACCATGCAGACATCCAGAAACAAAGAACAAAGAAAAGTTTTATTGCCTGTAAAGTGACTGGCAAGACCCCTTCTCACAAGAAAGGAGTGAGAGGAAGCACCAGCTATTGTGTGAGCTGACCTATATAACCTACTGGAGCTAGGAGGGGCGAGAAGGGGCTAGGAGGTGGAGATCTAGGTGTGGCCATGAGGACCAGAGCTTCATCGTGGTGGACTAGGATGTATGGCTGCTGCCCAAGTAGTAGATAAGGGGTCTTGCAACTGCCTAGACCTGAAGGTCACTCTAAGGGGCTCTTGCTGCCTTCTATGGTGGTAGCTACCCCAGTGGAGTGCCATCCCAAGGTAGAGGGGGTTGGAGGCTGATTATTGACTGCCTTGGCTGCATGGGCCTAGTGTTGCCTAGGAAGGGAGCATGCCAAGCTGTGGAGGGGGGAGGGCGCGTGCTAGGCGGTGGGAAGGGAGTCTGTTGGGCTAGAAAGAGCTTCTTTAGGAAAGGGACTAGAAGGCCACTCAGAAGATGGAGCAGCAGGACGGGACGGGAAACGGGTCTGGGCACCGCGTGGGCCTGGGCCGTGGTTTCTCGCCATCTGTCGATCAGCAGGTGTAGATACAGCCAGCCCAGGGAGCCTGGGTAGGTGGTGGCCACCGGTGGGGAGGGGCGAGCGGGTCGGGGCACACTGGGGCCGGACTGAATGGCTTTCTTACCAACGGTGCCAGGCGTGTCTAGGCGCCCAGGGTGGCCCCCGTGGCCCCTGCGGCCACGATCTCAAGCGTCTGGCCGCCCCACCTCGGCCTCTCTCCCCAGTAGGGCCCTGGCCTCTGCACTGCGCTCAGCCGCCATCCTCTCTTCCAGGCGACCAGGCCGACCCCTGCCGCTTCCTGGCCTGCGGGGAATCCGCCCAGTGTGTCTGGAACGCGTGGACCCAGGAGGCTGAGTGCCGCTGCCCGGAGCAAGGGCTCGGGGATGCCCAGCCCTGCGCCCCCGCGGAGGGCGCCGCCAGGTAGGCCACGCGCCCCAGCGTCCCCTTAGAACACAGGGCACCAGCAACTCCCGCCTGTAACCCCAGCTCTGAAGATCAGCCCATGGGTCTCATTGAGACCCTTACCTGCCATTAATCACCACAACGCCCGAAGATGTGACCACTCTCACGTGGTAGAGGGCCAGCCTTGAGCACAGAAGCTCAGAATCTGCACCCAAGGCTCTGAGTCCAAGACCCAGGACCAGCACACACACACATACACACACACACACACACACACACACACACACACAGAAATTCATATGGTCCTCTAAGCCATGAGATAAACAGTTTTGTGATTTCAAAGATTACGTACTATTTCTATATTAATATATGGTTAATTGCATAATGTAGAATGCATTATTTATTTGTTGATGCAAACATGTATCACTATACTTATGTATGATTTAGATGTATATTTAAATATAGAGCTAGCATATTGCAATTTAATTAATATATTTAATTATAACATCTATAATCATACATTAAAATATATTAAGAAACTATAGCAGTCTTGTTTAAGGCACTCCATTTCTTAGACATAAACATATATTAATACATACAGAGGTAATGTTTAAGAAATCCAGCAAAATAATATGATTGCAGTTTGTGCATGTTGTAGATGACAAAAATTACATCATGTTGTGGTTCAAAATTCATACGGTCTTGGGTTGGGATGGGAGGGGAACACTGGGAGACAGTGAGGGAAAAGGTGACATTGTCCAAACAGAAATGTACGCTTTTCCTGACTTATATACTGTAACCCCTCTGTACATCACCTTTATAGTAACAATTTTAATTTTTGTTTAAATCATATGGCCCCTTAAGTCTGTGTTTCTCGCAGCTTAGCCTCTGGGCAAACCCACAGGCCAGCCAGGCCAGCCCTGCCCTCTGCTCTGCACACGGCCACCTCAAGGTCACCTTACAAAACCCTGTTCTGGTCCTTGGACTATGCTTCTATGAGCCCAGTAGGAGAGGATGGGAAATCTGGGTGGGAACACACCACTACTACCTTAATCAGAGCTGCAGAGCTCTGAGGGTCTTCTCCATTTGTAAGCATTATAACATTCATCTTAAGAATGGTACAAAAGATGGAGAAGTCAGAAGTAAGCAAGGATCCTCTGCTATCATCCCCATTTGGTGGTTAGATTTTATAGAATTGGTTTGTAAGAATCCAAAATGGAATTAGAATGAGTTCTTGTCTTGTAGTCAGTGTGTGTGTGTGTGCACACACGCACATGTATGCGTGCACATGTGCCATTACTAGAGCTCAAACTCAGAGTCTAGGTGCTGTCCCTGAGCTTTTTCACTCAAAATGGAGCTCTACCACTTGAGTCACAACTCCACTTCTGGCTTTTTCCTGGTTTATTCAAGATTAGTGTCTCATGGATATTTCTGACCCCCAGATCTCAGCCTCTTGAGTAGCTAGGATTACAGGCATGAGCCACTTGTACTGGGCAGTTTATAGTCAGTTTTTGTTGTTCTTTTAACCTAGAGTATTTCCTCCTGCCATTAAATATTTTGTGTAGCCTCAGTTGTAATGAGCGTCGCAGTCCATTCTCTAGAGCTGAGGATGGCATGCGCAGTTGAATCGGTATTCACTGCAAGACAGGAAGTGCTAGGTGGAAAGGGGAAATGTGGAGGGGTACAGTTGGTTTCTGTGCACAACCAGACTTGGGGTGTGGGGAGGCCTAGAGCTAGAGAGCACAACACTGCTCTCTTCTCAAGCCCTCTGGCAGGTGAACCTGGACAGCATATGTTTGTGGGTTCTTCCACCAGATAGACAAGAGATGGAGCAAATGCCCCTCCTCAGACCTGTATACATTAGGGAATTCATGTTAACAGGCATTTCAAATTAGTGAGAGGAATATGGACAAGTCAATGTGGCTGGAGTACAATTGGCCTTTTGTTTATTAAAAAAATCATTTCATATTAGACAAAATCAATTCTATATCAAAGATCCAAATCTATCCAAACTATGAACATAATAATTTTTAATGTTTCTATAAATCTTGCCCTAAAAGGCCACCCTAACTATGACACCAACTCCAGATATCAAGGTTTCTATGGAAAGAAATTGTCATGAATAAAGCTAACAATAATGAGATCAAAGAAAAATATTTGTAGTCTATACCATAGACAAAGAGTGAACATTGGTAATAATAAGACCTTATATATCAATGAGACAAGAACCCTAATATTAAAATGAGCAATATGACACAAAAGTGCAATGACAAGGGCTCATGCCTATAATCCTAACTATTAGAGCAGGTGAGAGCTAGAGGATCACAGTTCCAAGCCAGCCCAGACAGAAAAGTCTTCAAGGCTCCATCTGCAATTAACCAGAAAAATGCCAGGCTAACGGCATGGCTCAGCAAGCCAAGCAAGAGCATTTTGAATTCAAACACCAGCATCAGAAGAAGAGGAGGAGGAGGAAGAGGAGGAGGAGGAGGAGGAGGAGGAGGAGGAGAAGGGGGGAAGGACGGGGAGGGGGAGGAAGGAGGAGGAAGGAGGGGGGGAGAAAGGAAGAAGAGGAAGAGGAAAAGATGGAGAAATCCAAATGTCTGATGAAATATAGAAGATATTCAGTCTCTCCATAACCAGAGAACTCAAAAAAAGAAAGAAAGAAAGAAAGAAAAAATATCCTTTGTCACTTGTGACTTTGCACAAAGAAGCTGGATAAAACCATGTAGGCCATGGAAACTGGAGAGAACCACTTCTATCAAACACTGCTGGTGGGAAGGAAAATTGTAACACCTACTACATTTTACATTTGACTCAGACACTCTGCTTTTAGACAATTAGTCCTAAAATCTAGTTGTAACCAGGTGCCTATGGCTCCCTCCTCCAACCCTACTAGGGAGGCTGAGATCTGAGGGTCACGGTTTGAAGCCAATCTAGGCAGGAAAGACCATGAGGGTCTTACCTCCAATCAACCACCAAAATGCCCCAGAAGTGGGGCTGTGGCTCAAGTAGTAAAGCACTAACCTTGACCAAAATGAAGCTCAGGGACAGCACCCAGGCCCACACAAAATGCATCCCTCCAATCACTCCATGAGTGATTGTCTTGAATGAACTCAGTGATCCGGAGACACACAGCTCCCACTAGAGGGTAGAACATGCCGCTTCCTCAACTTGCCCAAAGCCATGACTTGGACTTGAGAAATTCAGATACACAGGAATGTTGATGCTCTTTAGACAAAACCAACAAACTTCTCTGGGTACCAGGCGCCAGCAACCATGCGAGATGCTGGGTGGTAGGGGTCAGCTAAAAGAAATGGGGGGTAGGGAGAAGGGAGGGGGAAGAGGGAAGCTTATTTTATTTTCAGAGATGAGAGAAATTCCCAGAGAACCTCCATCTTGCCCTTTTAATTTCCTGATTCCATATTCCCTTCTAGAATGTTCGATGTGGAGCCCTATTCCCTCTTTTCATCACAAACCTCTGCGGCCCCCAGGAAGTTCCTCCACTTCAATGTGGGGCGCAGGTGGAGCACCGTGGGTGCTCAGAGGGTCCCAGGACCTGCTCCATGTCCATCAGTCATTCCAGTTCCTAAGTGGAGGTCATCAATTTTGCACCTGATCATTCATGACCTGAGAAGCAGCTAACATTGCCTAAAAGCAGAGTACCTGAGTCAAATGTAAAATGTAGTAGTAGCTGCTACTGACAATTTCTCTGGGAAAGGAGTGTTACAATTTTCCCTCCCACCAGCAATGTTTGATAGGAGTAGTTCTCTCCAGTTTCCATGGCCTACACTAATTTTATCCAGCTTCTTTGTCCACACTCACAGCCATGGATTCCATACTGGTTAAAGACTTCAGAGGTAGATGTACACACAACCTAGAGTTCTGCCCCTAAGTTGAGCCACATTGTCTCCCCATCCCTCGCTATAAGCTTCAAAGTCCTCATCTGATATAGTCTGGGAATAAATTCAAAGGCTCCATGAGGGATAAATGAGATAACTCTCGATATAAACTGCTCAAACATTGGCACGAGTGGAAGTCTGGGTCCTTTGACATACAGTAGACCTGGAAGGCAAAACAGATTCCCTGCCTGCCACTGAAACCAACACTCAGATGCAAATCTGATATAACCACAGTGCTGGAACAATGCAACAGCCTTCTCCAAAGAACCATAAAGTTGGCTTCATTGTTCTTATTCATCTGAAACGGAAGGAAAGGGAGAGCAGGATTGAGGGCTGGTGACAGGCAGAGAGCAACTTCCATCAATGTAGTGATCTATCGTCCTGCTGCGAAGTCGGGGTCACTCGTTACACACGCACACGCACGCACGCACACACACACACATACATTTTCATTCTATTCTTTTTCACCAATTATTTATGAATATACCCTCTATGTTTTTCATCTCCTTCAGTTCAGATATTCCATACATGAATTCAGTTGTGCTGAGAACTTCAAAAAAAAAAAAAAAACTCCCAAGAATCAAGAAAAATTTCATGTTCAAAGGCCCCTTTTGCTGAGTTTGCCTTTTTCATCATTCTTATTACACCTTTGCAGAAAATTCAGTTCAGCCTACAACAGGGTAAATTGTTTCTGAGTTTTCTTCTTCTATAAATTTCCAATTTTTGTCCTAGAATCAAGTGAGCCTAATTAAATGTTCTGAAACAATATGTATAATAGTGAAACTTGTTTCCAAATTTGGGGAAACAGGTTTAAGTAAATGATTTGATAAAGTGGCATTTCCAAGGAAGTTTTAATAATAGGGAAGCATCTGCGATAATGTCAGCAAGGTTACGGGGTCACAGGCTGCACCTGCAGGTGGGGAAGAGGCCCGGGAGAGGCATTGGTTGCTTCTAAGGAGCTATTGCTAATTTTCTCTTGAGTCCTTGCTTTCCTGAATACTGGGAGTCTGAGGGAGAGGGAGAAAGGATTGGAGTTTGATATAGTTATAGTCTAGTCCTGTTTTGAATTTTATGTCTGATTGGTCATTTGAGCAATCATGTTAGGGAGCTTAATTCTCCTGGAATGCCTATGCAGCTCCTGAGCTCCCTGTGGGAACTTTGCAAGTCCCATTTTCCCCAACCCCTCTAGTACAGATGCCCGTGCTCCCTGGAATCTACTACTTCCCTGATATGCTGGAAGCTTCTGGATCTTCCAACCAAAGCAAGTTAAGAACAAAAAATGATGTCCTAGGGCTGGGAAGGTGGTTCGTGGTGGAGCACTTGCCTTGCATGCATGAGGCCCTGGGTTCGATTCCTCAGTACCACATAAGCAGAAAAAGCTGGAAGTGGTGCTGTGGCTCACGTGGTAGAGTGCTAGCCTTGAGCTGAAGAGCTGAGGGACAGAGCCCAGGCCCAGAGTTCAGGCCCCACGACCTGACCCGACCGGACCCAAAAAAAAATGATGTCCCTGTGGTGGGAGAGGGAGCAAGTAGCTTGTTACTCGGTTTCCTAAATCACACCCCTTTTTCTTCTCTCTCTGCCATCTTGGCATCAAGCACTGGGATTGGAAGATGATTTTCCTTCCTTTCCTCTTTTCTTAATATTATAGTGGACAGAATGTTGGGAGGAAAAAGGCAAGTTTTGGAAGATGGTGGCAAAACAGTAGGGAACTGCCCCAGCTCTCTAACCAGAGAGTTGGGATCTTAACATGCACCCCCCCCCAAGAGATCAACAGCAAAGAACATGTGAACAAGCGGAGAATCGCAGGAACTGAACAAACCTCATAACTTGTATACATCAGGATGGAAAACTGCGGAGATCCTTCTCCCATTCCCCCAGCCCCACTCTCCCAGCCCCCCCCCCCCCCCCCCCACCCCCCTTCCCCCATCCCTCCACCCCATCACTCCATCCCTCCTTCCCCCATCTCCCATTCCCCTATCCTCCTATCTCCCATCCCCATCCCTCTATCTTCCCATCCCCTCTTTCCCCATCCTCCCATCCTCCCATCCCCCCATCCCTCACCCCCATCCCCCACTCCCATTCCCCACTCCTATCTCTCCATCCCCCCATCCCTCATCCCCCTATCCCCCCATTCCCCCCAGCCTTCAGCCCCCACCTCCCCAGTCCCCCCAACCCCCAGCCCCCCATCCCATGCCTGCAGCGAAAACAGCCCCTGCTCAGATGGGGACCCCAGGACCGGCCCAAGGTCCACAGCTTTCAGTCACAGTCAGCTCCCGCCCTGGACGTCACAGAGAGGAGCAGAGATGGCGGCCAGGTACCGCCCCCCAGACTGCAGAACTCCCAGCCCCGTGGCTGCCCAGCACTCTGGCCAGCAAGCAGTGCTGTAGGACAGCCCAAAGCCAGCTCCAGGACCAGCGGGTACCCTGCACGGGACCCCCAACGGGAGACCGGGAGACCCGCACTGCCAGTGACCCCCAGAGCCTGTCCCAGAAGCTCTCCATCCCACCCAGGAAGGATGAAGAGGCCCGGGTCCTGCTCTCCCCCCTCACCCCCTCATGCCCCCGCCCCACCCCCCACCCCCTGTTGACTTCTAGTGGGGGGCTGCCAGGCCCCATACCGGGTGGGCACTGGGCCGCAGTGCCCTCCGCAGACCTTGCCACCTGTAGGGAAATGCGGCCTGTTTGGAAGCAACACAAACTTTTTGTGTTCCACTGGGAGCACCCCCTCCCGAAGCCCACCTTCCCCGGAGGCCTGAAGCCACTCCCACAGCCCCCCACAGCAGACAGGTCCAATCAGCAACTGTGGTCAGACGAGGAGCGCGCACACACAAGCCAAAATCCAAGCACCATACCCTGGCGGCGGGAACCCACTCGGGACCCAAAGGAAAACAAAATCCCACTCCTTCCGAAGGTCACCTCCATCTTGGAAGTCTGAACGGAATCTTCCCAGCCCCCGCTGTAGACTGCACCAAGCTCCTTTCAGCTAGCTTGGGGCCGAGCATCCACAAGGAGCTTTCTGGCCTAAGCACCCAGAGTGCCCGGGACAAAGTGAGGGCTGCCACCCATGGGGCATGAACAAACCATACTCCGCAGTCCCGACACTCCCTGAACCCAAATGTGTAAATCCCAATGAAAAATTACAAGATTCATGAACTGACAAGATAAACCAAATCCAAAAGCCAACAACAATTCAGGGAAGGACCCCAGTGAAAGTGAAGAAGAAACGAAGGACAATGAACCATTAAAGAAATGATGGCAATGTCAATGAAATAAAAGGGGGAAATGCTAAAATAATTACAAGAATACAGAGAAGAAATGACTAAGAAGATCCAGATCTCCCAAAAGATTTGGAGATACAAACAAATGCTATACAACTCATTAAAAGATGAATAACATTATGAGAACTGATCTCAACAAAGAACTCAGAAGCACCAATGGTTCAATTTCCACAATACAAACCACAGTGGAATCCATAGGTAACAGAATAAGTGAATTGGAAAATAGACTATCAGGAGTCAAAGATAAAACAGAGGTGCTAGAACAAAAAGTCAAAGGTACAGATAAAACACCCACAACTTACCAAGGAGAAATCCTAGAATTGGCAGACTCAGCTAAGAAATCAAATCTATGCATAATTGGGATTGATGAGGGGCAAGAATTTAATAGTAAAGGCTTTGAAAACCTATTCAGTAAAATAATAACTAAGAATTTCCCCACTTGTAAGAAAAATCTCACCCACCTAATAGAAATACATGAAACCTTCGTAGACAGGATCCAAGAAGAAACACTTCTAGACACATCATAGTAAAAACATTAGATAAATTGATTTTAAATGCTGCAAAATCAAAGAAGGAAAGAAAATCAGAATCACTTCAGACCTCTCCACACAAACTCTTAATGAAAGGTGAGCCTGGAATGGTATAATCCCAACCCTGAAGATCAACAACTGCCAACCCAAACTGGTGTACTTCACAGTAAATCCAAAACCTTCCATGACAAACAAAAATTAAAGGAATTCATGAACACTAAACCAGCATTACAAAGAATACTAAAGGGAAGAGCAGAATCTGAAGAAAACAATCAAAATCAAGGAAACACATCAGACAAAAATCACTAGAAAACCAATTTAGTAAGCACAGAAAGATGAAATAAGCAAAATACAAGAAATCAAGAAAATGGCAGGACACATGACACATCTCTCTATAGTAGCCCTAAACATTAATGGTCTCAATTCCCCAATCAAAGAAAAAGAACAGCAGATTGGATCCAAAAACCAAGATCCATCCCTTTATTGTCTCCAAGAGACAGAACTCAGTCAAAGATAAAAACAAACTCCATGTAAAGGAATGGAAAAAAATCTTACACACAAATGCACCCTGCAAGAAAGCAGGAGTAGCCATTGTGATATCTGATAAAATAGACTTCTCATTAAAATCAGTATGAAGAGACAAGAAAGGTTATTATATTAATAAAGGGAATGATACATAAAGAGGAAATCCCAGTGGTCAATATTTATGTAGCAAATAATGGAGCACCAAAATACATTAAACAAATACTCTCGGAATTACAGAACAAGATAGACCCAAACACAATGAAAGTGGGAGATTTTAACACCCCACTCTCACCAAAGGACAGGTCAACCAAACAAAAGGTAAGCAAAGAAGCTTTTGAACTACATGATACCATAACCCAAATGGTCTTAACAGAGATCTACAGAGTATTCCACCCAAAAACGACCCAATTC